TTTCCCCATGTCTAGTGCTATTACTGGACATGTTTTTCTAAGCTTCAAGTGTCCATTAGCCTAACATTAGGACATGTCTTTTTTCAGTTGTCTCGTGTGTGTATATTCATGATCTCCATGTTAAGACTTGTTATATTGCTGTCTTGTTTAATAGGCTTATTTATAACTACACTAATATTTGTAATTGCGATGGACTAACACCCAAAGAAAAAGTACTACATTTAAGTCTAAGCTTCCTTCTCTGTTAAATGAGACTCATCAAAGCTTCTTTATTTGTTGGCCCAGTGATATGGATATAGATATACTGCTTCCTAGGTGTCAGGCAGTGTTCTAATGCTACCCAAACACTAGTTCATCTACTCTTCAAAACGAATCTATGAAGTGGATACTGTTACTTTCATTTTAGAAAGGAGAAGGCTGAGGCATAGAGGTCAGGTAAATTGCCCAGGTTGACAAGGGGAAGAGCAAACTCAGGCAGCTGGCTCCTGGATCAGTCCTCTCAACTACCTTGCTGTTTCCTGCCCTTCTGCTGCCTTACTGCTCGCTATGGAGAAGAGACAATACAGTGACACATACCGTGTGTGTCAATAGTGGCCAGGCACAAATGAGGCTCTCAGAAATGTTAGTCATGTGAGGCACGGGTCTCTTTTTTGAGTACCAATAACCAGCATCCTTCTTTCTTGGTCTGGCCCTGAGCCACTGTCCAGCCACCAAGACCCCACTGTATCTGGGAGTATGGGTCCCTGCCGAGTCTCTCCATTCCCTTGGACATTTATTGGCTCTGGAACAGTGGTTGGAGGAATACCATCTCTTTAATAGCAAGTGAGAGGTGCTGCCTTTATCCTGTTTGGTGATGTGCTCCTTGTTATTTATGACTCACAAATTTCTAATAAAACTTGGGATGGTGATACTTTTTTTTCCCGAATAAATGTATTAGTATTTATTGTAAGTGTATATCTTATAGTATTGATCTGATCAACTGTGGTATTCTGAGTGAATTTAATATACAGTTATGTGCCACATAACAACATTCTGGTTGATGATGGACCATGTATACGATAGTAGTCCCATAAGATTAGTACCATATAACCTAGGTGTGTAGTAGGCTATAACATCTAGGTTTGTGTAAGTACACTCTATGATGTTCACACAATGATGAAATTGCCTAACGACGCATTTCTCAGAACCTGTCCTCATTCTTAAGTGACTCATGACTGTATTGAATTCCAAAAGCTCTTAAATTTCACTGATGTTCTGTTTCATATGAATTAAACGTTACTAAACAATATTGTTAATTTTTAAAAAATGGCTTGAAGAGGCTATTCCTTATAGTTTCTCTGAAGCAAAACTAATTCTGTACTACTTCCTCCAAGTGACAGATGGCCCAGGAAATGATGGAGGCAAAACACATTCTGGAGCAGGTTCGCAGGAGAGGTCACATGTATTTGTTTTAGTCCGTGTTTGTTGTTCAAGTCTCTCTTGCACTCGAGGGAGTGGACACAAGCAGTGGGAAATTGTGCTGAAACTATGGCACCTTCTTTTCTCGTACCATAAAATTCAAAGGCTGAGTTCTGAGTAGTGGGAAACTACTGTGTAGTTTCATGTAGGCCACTACATGAAACCATGTGAGGCGAAAGGTCTGGATTAAGGTCTCAGCTCTACAAACTAACAACAACATAGCATGTTCAAGATCATCAATCCATTCATTATAAAATGAAAGGAATGAACACAAAGTTCTGTTTGCTCAGAGTTTCGCAAAGTATGGAGATGATTTAAATGAATTCTCGTGAGCTTACTTTAATGTGCCTTGGGAAAAAAATGCTAGAATTTGTCTCTCAAATTCATAAAATTTTCATTAAAATTACAGTTTTAAGGGAAAAATGTCAATGTAAGAAAATACTCAAACACATGTAGTAGTGGGATCTTCCAATACAACAAAAATCTGATGATGCAAATGCTGAAAAGTTGGCAGGTGAACTTGGATGGAGTCTCAGTTTATTTACAACCCTAATATGAGACCACGATGTCCCCAGGAATTGAGCTCCCCTCCAGGGGTGGTGGCAAGCGGAAACGTGTGTGTGTGTGTGTGTGTGTGTGTGTGCGTGCGCGCACATAGTATAAGAGAACTCTGAACACGGATGCACAGAGGCAATATAACATGTTTTATTGTTGTTTTGTTTTTTCTTTGTTTGTTGTTTGTAAGAACTCAGCCTCTGGAACCAGATATATCTGAGTTCCAATTCTCAGTTCTGCCATTTACCAGCAATGAGATGCTTCAACTTTATTAAATTCGGTTCTCTCATCTATTTATTGGGGATAGTAATTTTTAAAAATGTTTCTGTGACTTACAAATGAGTCAAATACAAGTAAAGTACCTACCAGAGTAACTAGCATATAGAGCTTAGAACGGTGTATCCATAAATACTCACACATGAAGAGGTCATGAAATTAGATTCTTCTGTAAAGAGAGCCTTCAGGCTGTTATTTTTTACACATGTGGATGAAGAAAATTTAAAAGAAGCAGCATATTTTCTTTTGAACAATTGGCTCATTCTTGCCCCATTGAAGAATGAACTTCATTATACTTTGGGGCCCAATTCTTATCATAAATTGCTGACGCATACCCCTTAATGATGAACATTAAAAGTTCAAAATAATAACTGGAATTGAAATGAATAGAAATCACGGGTTAAGCTCAGCTGCAGCAGTGGCTGCTATCAACAAGGCTGCTTTTATCAAGCGTCCAATTTCTCTAGTAATTAAGTTTCTTGAAAAAATCATGTAACCTTTTCATTTTAATCTGATGAGAATAATAGACCTTTTTTTCCATGAACAATTAAGCTGATGAAGTTCCATTTATAAATTAATTTTGTGAAGAAATTTTCATTGGAATTTTTAGAAAGACTTTCTCATTTACCATTTAGAACAGAAAGATCTGTCAGCTGAAAATACCTTATAAATGACTTCCTCTAGGTATGTGAATATTTAGGATTAAATTTGGGGACTGAACATTTGTAACATTAAGGTCCTTGTGATCCATGCCCCAAGACTGCATTTCAAAGCAGAGTTCATCACCTTGTAAAAGCAAAAACAAAAACCAGAACCTTACAATTCTATGGTTAATCACCAGTAAACCCAGTTTTGTACTTTAAAGAAAAATGTTATAGTGAAGATACAACAGTGTACGGATCAGTTCTGTGGGACAACTCAAAAGTAACCTACTTGAGAAGGAAGTGTTTCAGTAAACACTACTACTTGTCTGACAGCTCACCGATTTTAATTTTAGGATAAGCCTGCACATTTACTTAGCAATTTCACAGTATAAAACATTTATATATATATGTTCATATATGTTATACATTTCATAATTTGGAAATTATTTAGTATTAATTACTTTAAAGCAGGGATTTTCTATTTTCCTCCATTAAAATAAATGTGCTCAGTAAGTATTACTAAATTAAAACTTGAAAATACTAAAAAAAGTACTGAAAGGGTGACTATTTGTAATGATATTTACCAGTGTAATGTCAGTAAATACCACATATATGTCACTATCTCCTGAGCTCCAACAGGCCTTATGTTTTCTTTAATATAGTATTTCTGTTTAACAGTATAAACCAACCACTAGTTCATGCTTTCTCTGTAAAGGACCGCACTGTAAATAGTTTAGGCGTTACGGGCCATCCAGCCTCTGCTGCAACTTGTAGAGCAGCCAATATGTAAATAAACGAGCTTGGCTGTATTCCAATTAAACCTTATGTGGACACTCAAATTTGAATTTTATATAATTTTGACATGTAATTTAATAATATTATTCTTTTCATGTCTTTTCAACCATTTGAAATGTGAGAACTATTTTTAGCTCTCAGGGTGTACAAAAGCAGATGGCTGCAGACCAGATTTGACCCATTAGCTGTGGTGTGCAGAGGCTTGGCGTTGTCATCTGTGCTTCATTGATTTACCGTCATTCTGTTTTTGGATACCTTTACTCGCTAAGCTTCCCTTTTTTTGTGAAACTATAATGTATCCTCAAGTAACTTCTACCTACGGATTCTAGATTATTCTGTCTGAAGTAGATTAGAACAAAATCTCTTCCCTTTGCCGTAACATAGGCCTTAATGAGGTCAAAGAAAGCCAGTCTGACCCGCTTGGACTTCTCTGTCTCTTAATGTTTCTTAAACTCTTTCCAGATACTTATGTTCAATGGCTATTTTCTTCTGTTTGCTCCTTAATTTTCTAATTATTCTTCACAAAATGCACACAAACTAAACAGAAGCTTTAAGTTATTGTCTGGCTAATGGAGAGCTCCATGGAATCTCTGATTCCAAGGATCTTTGTACAAGGCAACAGTGAAGTGTGATTATTGGTGGTGGGAGTTGTTGATTTATTTGGCTGGTTTTTATTTGTTTTATTTCACTATAAAGATACCTCTCATATATAAATGATCAGATAATCCTGGTATTTTTTCCCATGCCCATTCGTGGTCAGTTAGCACAAATAACCACACATACTCGCACATTTATTCTTTAGTCCTTAATTTCTATAAACTGTACTTGCCAGATGTGGTTATTGAGAGAAAATAACAGTACAAAATATGTTTTTAAAAATGGAGAGAGACAATAGATAAAAGTTATAAATCCATTTTCTTATCTGAGAGTGGAGTCTAGTAAAGCTAACCAGAAAATAAGTTATTAAATTAAAATAGTTCATCATCACCTTCTAAACAACTTTATTTACTCCATTCATTTTCCCAAGTACCCCAACGGCACATCAATATCATTTCCCATCTTAATTTGGTTATATTATGCCTTATTCAATCCAACAGATGATAGAATCACTTATGATGTTAAAGAAACATGAGATATCAATTATAGGTAGCATTGAATTTTTCTAGATGAAAATGATTTTTACTTATAAAGTTCTGACTGTTGATATTAAAAATTGTTTTAAACTGAACCATCTTAAGAAAATAAAATTGACTTTTATTTTGTACTTAACAGGTTCTGGGTTGAATGATGGACAATGGCATGAGGTTCGTTTCCTAGCTAAGGAAAATTTTGCTATTCTCACCATTGATGGAGATGAGGCTTCAGCAGTTCGAACTAATAGTCCTCTTCAAGTTAAAACTGGCGAGAAGTACTTTTTTGGAGGTAAGACTACCATTTTTTATTGGTTAACTAATACATTACTAAAAATGGAGTTTCAATGTAGTTGGATTATGAACTATTTGCTTCAATGGACTCAGTGAATCTCAGGAAAAAACAAACTAATTCTGTAATCCCATTGAGCTAAAAAGAGTGGCAAATTTATATTTCTTCATGATAAAGGTTTTAATAGGATATCACCATATTCTTTTAGTTCAATTCAAATATTCGAGGTAGAAATCATGAGATTCTGAAACCATTCATTCTCATAATACTATCCTCAATACTCAACTTCTTGGATTATATATTAATCACCAACTGCAGTGTAACTAATTACCCCAAACTCCAGGAGCTTAAAACAACCAACATTATCTCACAGCTACTCTAGACCAGGAATTCAGGAATGGCTTAGCTGGGTGATTCTAACTCAGGGTCTCTCATGAGGTTATATCATACCCAAGGTCTTGGCCTTGGCTGCATCATTTGAAGCCTTGACTGCACTGGATAATCTGCTTCCAAGAAGGCTCACTCACTTGATTGACAATTGGTGTTGGCTGTTGGCTGGGGTACCTCAGTTCTCCTCCTTGTGGCTCTGATTCTTCAGGTCCTCTCTTCCTCAAGTGGCTTCTTCTGTATGTGGTCGGGCTGAGAGAGAGAAATAGAGGAGGAGAGGAGTGAAGAGGAGGGGAGCAGAAAGCCAGTAAGCAAGAGAGGTTTTCGAAGATGGAAGTCAAAGTTTTTAATAATCCAGTCTTGGAAGTGATATCCCATCACTTCTGTTATATATAATTTGTTAGAAGTAAATCACTAAATCTAACCTATACTTAAAGGACGCAGATTACACAAGGATCCAGAGATTATTGGGATCATCTTAAAGACTGTCTACCATGGGATGCCTTACATGAGAAGCCGTCTTATGACAAATATCTTGATTCTTCACTAATGAAAAGATTAGTCAAAGGGAAGATTCTCTTAACCATAAATTCTACTACATGTAAAAGAGTGTTGTGGCATGGATCAGGCATATTTTCTAATTCGAGAAAAGCATCCTGGCAGAAAATGATTTTTTTCTCGTTAATGAAATCTGGAGATATCTTTTATTAAAGTGCTAGGTGTGTTGTTTAGATCAATATATCTTTCATTAGATCATTGCCTTTCTCATCCTAAATCACGCATTTGAGATATAAAAAAATACAGTGCATCCTTAGAAAAAGCTTTTGTTTAAGCTTCAAAAAACATATGTGACATATATTTGCCTCTGAAAATATAGCTTTTAATATTCACATATCTATTTGTTTGTTTGTATAAACGTATGTTTATATATCACTATATTTATGTCTTTGTCTAATTATTAGAGTAAACCTAGTTGAGAGCAGTCATCTTGTATGTCTTGTCCCCTGCTTTATTTCCCAAGGTACTGGAAAAATTCTTGGAATATAGTAGATGACCAATAAATATTTATGAATGAATTAGTAAGTTCTGAAAAATAGACAAGGCAAGCATTTTATTTCCATTAGTCTCAAAGAAGAAATAGAAGCCCTAGGAGCTTTACTGAGTTTGTAGGCAGCATGTGAATTCAAGACCTCTGACTCCTGTACCAGAGTGTCCCTCCCCTCTGCATCATGATATGATGATGAGTGACAACTCAGAGACAAATGTCCTGAACTAGACCTCTGCTTCTTTAGTCTTCCATGGTGTTCGTTGGATGTTAAAACTACATAATTTTAAAAAGGCTCTCAATAAATATTTGATGAGTGGTTGAAAGTCAGACAAGATGTCTTATGAGTGAATAAACTGGGGCTTGTTGATGTGAGAAAAAACAACTCAATAGCCAAACTGGTTTTTCTCCACAAATATATTTAATATGATGGGCTTTTGGCCAACAGTTTCATTGCTGTTATAGTAAACGGATCACAATAGTCAGTTGGAAAGCTATTGATAATCCCTACCCATCCAAATGACGGTGGGATATCTTTGGCCGTGGATGAGCTTGCTGAATGCCTAAGGCCAGTTTTGATCTATTCCATCTAGAAGGTAAGCAAATAGCTATAACTACAAATTTATGACATAGAGTTTATAGGATATGAGAGCTTTATAGTGTGCTATTTACTATGGCCTTACAGATTTTGGTTTTCAAACCTAGCAGTCGGGAGTATATTTCCTCCCTCTTGGGTCTTTGATCTGCCACGGGGAAATGCTGTCAGCAAATGCTCATGATGCTTCTTTGGTTATATCTCCATTGGCTGAATCCTCAGAGTGTTTGAGATTCACTACGGGAACTTCTTACAATTCAGATTCTCAGCCCCCACCCCTAGAATGTTAAAATGCAGGATGCTGAGACATTGAAGATTTATAAACTTCAAGTGATTCTGATACAAATGATGTGAGGAACAGAATTATAGATCAACCTTAGCCAATATGCGTGCACATCTTTCAGATTCTTTTTGAAAGACAACATCAGCCACTGAAAAGTGAGAGAAGTGAGAATTAGCTCGTCTTATATAGCTTTGCCGCCACGGAGCAGTGAAAGGAAGTCCCAGGCCAAGGTCTGGTGCACAGACAGACATTTATTAAATGAACACTTAATAGCAAGTGGGCACAACATTGTTAATACAAACTCTTCTGTAAGCTCAATGAAGTCCTAGCTCTCTGACTTGCTATACCTTGAAGAAAATATTCTCTTTAGGCAGCTGTAGCAATATTCTAGAAGCCGGATTCAGCTACACTCAGAGCCAGTGCCAGGCAACAGAAAGCCTCCTAAGCTAATGGCTGGCACAAGATCACTAAGTGATCCAGATTCCAGAACCATCTCCAAGGTCACAGGCCTCAGTGGAATCTTATACCATCTTCACACAGGCTGCGGATGTCTCTAAAAGATGTTTTGCTAAACTGTATAGCCTTAATATCTTTAATTTTACTGTTGAGATCTCTTTTCTAACATATATGCTAATTAGCAAACCACAAATTTCACCAAAGAAAATCCAATTTGGCATTCTGTAAGTTGATTAGTGGAATATCCTTGAGTAGTCGCCTCTGGAGTGGCTGCAGTGTTTCTGATATAATGCTCCCGACCACCTCTGGCATGTGGCTTCCCAATTAGAATTCCAGCTGCCTCTGGAGTATAACTTAAAACACACACATACAACTTCTTACTGTCTGTGCTGAAAATTTGAAGTAAGTTGCAGATGTTTCAATGAAAACTCCTTAAGAAATATTACTGTTGTGGAAAGAAGAATTGACTTTGTTCAAAAACATGAGCTTTGAGTGGTGCACATCTGATTTTGGGTAGTGGCTTCACTTAGTTGATGGATCATTTTAATAATTTATCTTACTTTCTTCGTCTATTAAAAGGCAATAGAATCTGTTCTGTGAACATTACACAGCACCCAAGGGAATGCTAAATGCTGACTGCCTTTCCAAGTCATCTCTAGTCTTTTTTTTTTTAACTCCCTTGGAAGCAGCCCCTTCCAAGGAAGACTGGAGATTTCAAACCATGTGCTCATCTAAACTTCTCACCAACTTCTCCACTACTGAAAGCATTTCCTCCTCTTCAATTAATAAGAAGCAAATTGTTTCCCTGCTCACTGAAAGCCTTCGTTGAAGGCTTCCTGCCTTCATGTATCAATTACAGACCCTTAAACATGTCCACATTTTATTTTTTTCGAAGTTCAGTTCTGATCTTGGAGCTTCTTTTGCAACCACAGGCACGGCTGTTTCATACCCGTGCGGAGCTTTATCTCTCCCTGCCTGCTCCCTGCTAATCTCAGGAAGGGTTTTAGTTCTCCTCTGTAACACTTGTGAGCAGATGTTGAAGCACTAAGAATTCTTTTCTCCCGTTGTTTCTTGGGAATAAACAGAAAAAGAAAGAGATCATTCATTTGGGATGGGTCCTCAGCAAAAAATATTTTAGCTGCTTTAACGTTTTTCCCTACCTCTCAACTGGAATTCCTTTTGATAACACTTCATTAATTTTAATAATCAAAAGAATAATAAACACAATAATTAACTTTATTTATTGACTGCTTTCCTGGTAATAGGCTTTCTGATATAGGCCAGGGCCCTTGGTCATGAGTGAATAGAAAGATTTTTAAACTTCTAAATTTTCTTGGGTTTGGTATTTCTATTATCCCCGTTGTTTTCATTTAAAAGGAAAAGAAGCTGTGGTTGAACAGGAGACGTAAGAAAGTTCCAGAACCAGTCTTGTTGGAAGGAGAGGATCTCAGCGGGGGTTGGCAGCTCTCAAGAAGGTACCAGACTAGGTGGAGGTGGCAAGAGAAAAGGAGATGTGGGAACTGGTCTGAGTCTGGTAGGAGTGGGGTTAGTAAAGTTTAGTAAAAGGGCACATCCCTTCCCAGTTACAGATCTGAGCTCACCAGTGTACAGCCTTTCAGTCCTCACTGAAATGGAGCATGCATTTTAAATAGCTAACCAGATACGTATGTGAATATGTATCTATATAAAGTAGTTCTCATTCAAACAATCAGAAGTGTTGTTACCAGTTCTTTTGCTCCTTAGCTGTTTATCATGGGAAAATGCTCCCAGCCCCCGCACACTTATGAGTGCCTAGAAGCTTCCTTAGGGATCTAAAACATACCATCACTTAGTCATGAGAAGCCTCCCACACAGTTTCTCAGAAATCCTTGGGTTGACCAGCCTGTTGCCAGACTATTTGTAGGACCTTGCACCATTGGATTTAGGATCCAGTCTTTTGGCCTCTGAAAGGCCAACTCGCCTGATGTTACACCTACAGAAAATCTATTATTTGGAGGTTTATTTCTAGCTCCTTTTTGCTGCTTTCCACAAGAAATGGAGCAAGACAATATTTTATTAAATGATGTGATAACGTTAGATGCTGTGTCTTTTCAGTGGTCTAAAAAGTGAATCCTAAACAAACTTCTTTGAGGTATATATGAGTTTTCTAAGTCTGCTGTAACCAAGAACCCTAAACTGGGTGGCTTAAAACAACAGAAATTTATTCCTTCATAGTTCTGGAGGCTAGAAGTCTG